GGGGGTATGGATATTTTCTGGAACTACACATTGTAATGTTAACATTTTTTCATGATTTCTTTTGTTCTCTACGCAAGTGAATCTGTTGTGTACTAAAACAGCAGTTGCTCGTTGAATGGGGGGTAGGTGGAGGGGGAAGGGGGGGGGCTTGATAAGTCTCAAATAAAATGTCCTCAGTGGTGAGGGGATGAATATTTTCTGGAACTGCACATTGAGGAACACACAATTTTGGCAAAACTAAAACTTTCTATAAATTTCTGTTTAAGAATGGATGGAAAGGTTGCAGTCTTCTTTGAACAGTGCTTCACTTGTTTAAACCAAGAATTTTGTGGAAAAAAATCACAATGAAAAAGTGGTATTTCCACTGTAGAAGAATTAGCGTCAAAACTTCATAAAGTGCAGACTTTGGGGGAGGGGAGGAGAGGAGAGGAGAGGGGAGGAGTGGGGGGTGCATTTGAAACACAGGAAAAAAAACCTTAACCTAACCCTACATCATCCGCAAAACCTAATCCTCCCATAGTAGATTACATGAAACCTAAACCTTGCCTAACTTTAGGTATGCRAGGGAAGGGGAGGGGAGGGTGAAGTTAATAATATATGGGTCCCTTTTCCCCCTTTCGCAGAAAATAACAAGGAATAAGTAGCAAACATGAATATTTAGACTAAAAATATGAGATTGAAGTCATTTTTTTTCGATTTAGCAAAAGTTTCAAAAATACTCTATAAAGTCACTTCATGGCCGTTTCCACATCCGGCTGTTCAATTATAATAAGATAATATATAACCAGCATTGCCAGTGCAAATAAAGTGCAAATAATATATATAGGCTTGTCAGAGAGCATATTTACAAGTGTGACCTTCAAAACAGTGGCAACCCCAAAAAAATTCTGAGAAAGTTATTTGATCAGAGTATGAGAAATGTTAGTTTGATCAACAGCCATGTTCATATTTAATCAAAAGTTCAAAATATTTCCAATGTCATTAGTTTCAAATACTTTTACCATTTATTTTGCTAAAATCAGTGTTAACTTTGCATTCCATGGTAGGGGTGAAACAGAATCACACCGCTATCCAATGAGAGAGCACACAAAATTCAAATTCTATTCTTAACCAAACTTTAAAAAAAACAGGACTTATATAGGTTAAACATGCTGGTATATTGTGCTATGGTTAACCATATCTAAGTTATTGTCAACATTAGTTCTACAGGAAAACATAAAATTCAAATAGGAAATTACGTTTTAAAAGAGGAACAATAAGCTCTTGCAACGAGTACTAGACATAATGATTATATAAGCCGACTTTTTTCCTGTTTTCCTTTTGAGAACGAAATATGGTGAGTTATTGTCATATTTAAACAAATCATACTTTGTTATTGTTATAAATATTCATACCACTCAGTGTAATTTTGGCGGTTTTATTACGCATATACGTCAAGGAATTTGATTAGAATTTTCTAGAAAGTCTTTTATCTTGATGGACAAGCAAATACTGCAGACGGGACGTTCATCACACACACGAAACTTGTCAAAATGTTGTAAAAAAGATGGCAAATAGGTCTTAAAATCCTCAAGCCAAAACAATCAGTAGTATCGTTTTAAAATATCATTGAGCAAAAGAAAATAATAAAGAGATCCTGTCGAGATCTTATATGTCAAAAATATCAGAGGGAACAATTAATGCAACTGAGGACAAAGGGAGCAACTTCAATCATCGGCTGACCTTGGAACAACAGACCATAATACACGGCTAATAGTAACGGATGAGCAATTTATCAGTTTTATGATCTCCAAATATTGTTGCAAAAATACATATTGATATAAAAATAACAAGTTTAAAAAGAATATCAATAAACGTTTCGTGTCAACAAACATAATTCCCTTGAGAGCTTCGTGCAAATTCTATTATGACCGACACGAGGGCTATCGTTTGTTGTTATTACATAACAATTAGGATTTGTACAATTAAAATGTAAACAAACCTTGAAGCGAGCTTGTTCTTCTCTTTTTTGGACTTATTTCTTGCATTAATTGGCAAAGAATGGATAGGTTTGAGATCGGTTATGATTTTAGTCAATCGGTTAAGCTCCCGACTTATTTCAAGCAACTTTCTAGGATTGGGGTTCATGTCTTCCATGTCTCCCCTTCGTCCTTTACGCTGTTTTGCGGGAACCTCAAAATTATCCTTTGCATGAGAATCGTCCTCATCGTCTTCACTGTCGATCTCCTCATCGGCTGATTCTTCTTGAATAACAGCGAGGTGCTCATCTTCGTCCAAGCTCTCACTTGAAGTTCTACTGTGGCTCTGTTCGGAAGTGAGCTTGGAGTAGCTCGCATTTTGAGCCACTTCACATGACGGCTGGATGTTTGATTTGGCTTCCAGATAAGCAATTCTTTTCATTAGTTCTGAATCCTTCAGTTCGATAGTTTCAGTAGGCTCCTGTTTAACAGTGTAAGAAGACAAAACACAGGCCTGAGAAGGAAAAGGCTCTCTCTTTGTTTTGTCAACATTCTGACTATTTTCTTCGTTGTAGTACTTTGTTTTCTCAATTTTTATCAAGTCCTTTTTTCTTTCTGGTATTTCTGGCCGAACTTTAACATCATTATGAGAAATGGTTGTACTTACACCTTCTATTTCACTTCGTGTTGCAATGCGATGCAGTCTTTCCATTTCTGGGTTAATCAGTGGCGACAGAGATCGCTGATTATTGAGTTCAGCAAGAGTTGGACCCTGTGTCTTACATTCCAGCTCGTTCACATCTGACTTGAAGAACTCCTGCTCCATTTCCCAGTCGAAACCAAATGGCGACAAGGATTGAAAATCTTCCCACGACTCGGAACATGGTTGGTATTGTGAACTGTCCGAAAGCGGATCGTCCTCGAATGGACTTCCCTGACAGTTCAAATCGTCTAGATACACTGATGGAAACACAGTCAAAGTATTCTTTGAGCAAGTCTCCACTTCCACAGGAAGCTGAAAGAAGAAGAAAAAAMAGAAATGATAAAACTGCAGCACGAGCAAATACATTGAACACGAACATAAAAAATGGCTGAACGAGCTAAGGAATATCATACTTTCAAATTTTTTATCACTTACTGGAGAGAATTCTAAGCCCTTATGCATAAAACCTTTCCTTTTTTCTAGCTCCGACAATGTCTTGTTCGTATAAAGGCTTCAAATTTGCAGCAATGAGAGCAGAAACTGATCGGGAAAGCAACAAACTCTGTTTTGTTATTGTTTTAGCTGGAGCTTTAGAATCACGAGACTGGCGATGTCAATAAATCTAATTTCCAACCAATCACGAGGTTGTCCTTGGCCCCGTATAGACCGCCTCCTCTGAATTGAACGGTGACCGTACCAGAAGATAAACATTCGAGCTATGTCGATACAATTTAGCATTAAAATTCTTACAAAAATGACATTTTACTCCAAAAATCAAGTCAAAATGACAGAAATTATATCCTCTGTACGTCTCCGTCGAGCGAAGAAACTATTTCACTTTAAAAATTGAAATTTCTAAGAAAATTCTGTAAATGAGAGCAATACGGTTTTTTGCTTTACGTAAAGATCTATTTTTAACTTCCCCCATATTAAGGAAACAATTGTTACACACCCCCAGGCTGGACCAATCAGAGACAATCAGAAACTTGAAATGACGTCAATGAATACGATATCTGTACGGAGGAGTTCAGTTCATCACGTACAAGAATAATCAGGAATCTAGGAACTTGAAAAGCTAGTATTTATGTTTCTAGACATAACCTAAATAATTTCTAACCAAAATAAAATCCTATGGAAATAAAAGAACACATATAAATCGATGTACAAGTATGTACAATTTATATATATTTTTTTCTTTAGTTACCTAAATACATTCATAAAATGCTGACCGCAATGGTCCGGGGGGTTTTCGTCCATTTGATTTTTAATTCGAAAAGAAAATTGAAAAAGTATCCCAAAATCAATTTTGCATTTTTAACTTTCGTATTTTGTTGTTGTTTTTTTTTTCACACTTTCTTGTAGATTTGAATAAAATGATTGTATTTTAAGATTATTGTGAAAGGAAAAGGAAGAATGCTTTAATTTTTGAAATCCTTTAAAACAAAACTCGAAAATCCCCCAGTAGGGAAGGACTGCTCGCTCAGTTTCGCTTCCGCCTAAGGCAGGGAGGGGTCAGGCAGTTTGTAGCCAGGTTGGGCTTCCTGTGGTATACAAGGCAACAAAAATGGCGGCTTTTCGCAATTCGCCAAGGTTCTACAAGATACTCACACTTTAAAAGAAAACGTTTTCATCTAATTTGATATCTCGACTCAATTACAAGTGGAAAAGCTCTGTTCGACAAGCAAATGGAGACTTGGAGATCGCAACTCAACTGATGCTTGATCGTTTTGTGACTTGTTTTATCCAGACACGAATTCAGGATCGATAAGTTAAGTTAATGCTACATTAGCTGCAATAGCTATATATAAGCTTATGCCATACTAGTACCTTAAGTCTACACCGAGACAACATGCAAGAATCAAGCCCATCTATGCATTCCATTCCCGGATAACAAACAAGTAAACAAAACTCAACTGAGAACAATTTTATTTTACTTCACAACTAAATTAAACTTCAT